CTGAGGGATCGTAGTCTCCGGAGTTCGAATTTGACGGCTGTCACATAATGTCATGGGATACTTGCTGAAGAGATATCAAACTTTCCAGATTTTCCATTGAAGTTCTCTTTACTTCATCACTGGAGGAACTGAGTGCAGGCTTCAGTGTTGATTTATAATCCATGCCAAGCACCTCAGCAGGTGTTGAACCTTTGGCATTCAACTCATACTGAAAATCATTTCCTAGTTTCAACCTAAGATTCAACAAGGAAACCATAAAAAATCAATAGTGATGTGAGCTCAAATATTTCATGTTCATGTTGTGTTGTGTGCATCAAATTAGCAGATGGCCTTGGCTTTTAGACAATGACAATGCCAGGTAAAAAAAGGAAAGAAAGTACAACAAAATCTTGTGCCCACTAAAAATTACTTTTAGGCAAGTGATGAGAAATTCTCACATCATACATGATTCCATGTCAAAACAACAGAATCAATCATAAACCAGCATAACGCCTGCACCATTCTACCTCATGCATCTAATAAAAAAAATACGTGGATTTGCATGTAGATCAAATTGTAAATCATGCATCTAATAAAAAAATCGTGGATTTGCATGTAGATCAAACTGTAAGATGTCAGCAATAAAAGAAATGACGAATTCTATAAGCATTTGTACCAAATATCACAAGTAGTTATAAAAACAATTCACAGAGCGCAGAAGGTACCTCCGGATAGCCTGGTTGCATTCAATCTGAAGTGCCTCCAGCTCCTTAAACTTTGTCCCGATGAGAGCATTAAGATCCCAACACTTCTCCTCCACTTTCTTCTTTAATTCCTCTTACTCCTGACAGATCCTATTCTTCTCCTCAATTTTTATCCCCAATTCCTTCTCTTTTTCTTCTATTAGCTTCTCCACATTCACCTCATCTGCATGCAACTGCTCAATCAATTCATTGAACTTCTTGATATCCTTTTCTAACATAGTCTTTTCCTCCTCCTTTGCTTCCCCGGGCGATGGTCCAGACTTCATAGCCTCCAGTTTTGCCTCCAAATCCTTAGCATTTTCTTATTTGACCTTTACATTCTCCTCCATGAAACTTTTTTCCTATTATCAACATTTTATGAACTAAAATCAACCTAAATAAATCACTTTTTAGTTATACTATTTAAACGAATGAAGACATTAATACCTGTTGTAACTTCTCCATGAAATTGTCATCTTCCCTTTCCATTGCATCATCATCTCCCTTTATGTAATGCAGGTAGGTATTCAGGGTATAAGTGAATATACTATCTCCAGAAATCGACTGTGATTGAGTGGAATTTTCAAGGTGTTCGTTATACATTGCAAAAAGAAGCACGGCTAAAACACTAGGAAATGAGTGAGGTGTTCCAGGCGCTTTCAAGGCTGACTTGTTCATCTTGATCGGGCAATTCAAGTATTTCAGAACTATGAACAAATCGTCTTCGAACTTATTAGGGCAGCTCCAACCTTTCACACCAAAAAAAAACACCAAATAGGTGGACCCATAAACACCAAAAAGAACTCTAACTCCAACCTTTTGCCGTCCATCTCTTCCACGGCAAATTTGCCGTTTATTTCCTTCCTCCGGCAAAACTTTGGTGTTTTTGGCGTACGTTTGGATCCAAGAGAACGGCAAAACTAGGGTTTTGCCGTTCGATTGGAGTTGCTTACCAGGCGGATATTCAAGGCGCGTGAGAACGAATTTTAGGGTTTCGGTGATGTCTTTGTTAGACGGAAGAGGTTTAAGTTTGAAAGAGATCTGGAAGGAACATGCGGAGAGGTAGGAGTTGATGGTAGAAACAGCGTGGCTTTGGTAGGATCGGTCAGTAATTGAGACGGCGGTGGCCGAACGGTGGTTATTGGCGCCAGCAGAGAAGGAAGAAGAGGGAACTAGCGTCCGAATCTCGGCGGTTTCCCTCCCCACCAACGCCGTTGAACTGCCATGGATCTACAGGTGTTGGAGTGGTGAATGGTGGTCGGGGACAAAGCGCTCCGTTGGAGGGCGGCGTCCGGTGGGGCCTCTCGCGGCAACTCCAACCTCATCACCAAAAAAAAAACCACCAAAAACACCAAATATGATGGCCCATAAACACAAAAAAAAACCTCAACTCTAATCCGACTCTAAAAAAAATACCAAATTTATGGAACCCACATTAAAATAACATATAAAAACCTAAAACTTAATATTTATAATTATTTATTTATTTATAACTTATTTAAAAATCATTAAATATTACAAAAAGTTGGTGGGGACCACCTCTTTGGCAAAATACCGTCCATCTTCTTTCCCGGCAAATATGCCGGTCATTTTCAAGACCCGCTATATCTTTGGTGATTTTGCAGGCCGATTGGAACCAAAAGAACGGCAAAACTAAGATTTTGCCGTTCGATTGGAGTTGCCCTCATAACGCCGTTGAACTGCCATGGATCTCCAGGTGTGGAGTGATGTTTGGGATTGCTTATTTAAAACAAGGGAAAAATTTCTTGTTTGGAATGATTAAGTCATTAAATTTTTTTTTAGAATAAATAAGTTTTTGGACATTCCAAAACATGTTAAATAAGTCTTTGGATAATTTTTTGGAACAAATAAATCCTTGGACATTCCAAAATATGTTAAATAAGTCCTTAGACATTCCAAAAAATGTTAAATAATTCATTGGACAATTTGTGGAACAAATAAGTCCTTAAACAATCCAAAACATGTTAAATAACTTCTTGAACTTTTATAAAACATGTTGGATACATTCTTATGACTTGTACAACTAGTTAAAGTGGTAAAATAGTGAAAAAAATCAGGAAAAAAAACTCAATGAACATCCATATTTTGAACGATTAAGCCCCTAAATATTTTTTTGAACCAAAAAATATTTAGATCTATAAAATTAAACAAATATAACAAAAAAGTACTTACATTTACAAAAAAATAATTACATTTAAAAAAGATTTTTGATAAAGTTTACTTTAATTAAAATTAAAATATATTTTGTCAGTGATTTTTCAAACAAAAAAAATAATTATTATTAAATTTATTTTAATTAAAAATATATATATCATGTATGTGATTTTTTAAATTAAAAAAAGATTTAAAAAGATTACTGGTAAAATTTATTTTAATTAAAAATAATATATTCTATAATTTTTTTATTTTTTTTAGTTTAAAAAATCACTGACAAAATATGAATGTTCATTGGGGTTTTTTCCGGATTTTTTTTCATTATTTTACCACTTTAACTAGTTGTACAAGTTATAAGAATGTATCCAACATGTTTTATAAAAGTTCAAGAAGTTATTTAACATGTTTTGGATTGTTCAAKRACTTATTTGTTCCAAAAATTGTCCAAAGAGTTATTTAACATTTTTTGGAATGTCCAAAGACTTATTTGTTCCAAAAATTGTCCAATGACTTATTTAACATTTTTTGAAATGTCCAAGGACTTATTTGTTCCAAAAATTGTCCAATGACTTATTTAACATATTTTTGAATGTCCAAGAACTTATTTGTTCCAAAAAATTGTCCAAGGACTTATTTAATATGTTTTGAAATATCCAAAGACTTATTTGTTCCAAAAAAAAAGTCCAAGGATTTAATCATTCCAAACAAGAAAGTCCATTGATTTTTATTGTACTTTTCCCTTAAAACAAATATGTTTTTTGTTTAAAAAGTGTTTAKTWWYTTATKYKKTATTAAATCAGAGTTAAATAAAACATGTTAAAATTATAAATTGGTAATAAACAGTTTTTAATAAGTTAGAAATGATTAACTTGTCAAAAACAATTTATTACCGGTTTAACACCGGTATAAATAGTTTTTTTATCTTATCCAAACACCAGAAAACAATTTATCATCGATGTCAGACTGAAATAAATTAAAAAGTAGTTTTTATAAACAATCTCAAACACCCCGTGATTTCTTTTTAATCTTAAAATTCATTTATTAAAGAGTGAACTGTGATTTGTTATTTGTATTTTGATATCCTTTTTACTGGGGTTCCTGTGGATTCCAGTTTATGTATTTAATTTATTTTGATTATGGTTTTTTTAAATTAAAATCTTTGTTAACTTTATTAAATTAAGGATCATTTTTGTCTATCTTTTTAGTATTAGAAGAGTACTCGCATAATGCAGCGAAATACATCTCGATTTTAATGTTTCATTTTATTCTATCTCCGTCATATGGTACCGAAAAAACGATAATGTTTTTATATTTTTGAATAAAATATAAGTTAGAAGGTATAATCAAATTTTGAAAAAAGATATATAGATTTTTATATCAAATTAAACATTTAAAAGTTCTTGTTTCTTGTGTGTAACTTCTTTGATTATATTTTTTATTATAATTTAATTTAAATTTAATAATGAAATCGTTTATCTTTAGTTTAATAATATAATTTTTTACAAAGATAATATTTAGTATTTTGAATTCAAGGATTATCCTAAATATGTTTTAGATTTTTATATTTAAAATGAGATACTTAACCAGAATTTGATTATGTTTATCTGTAGTTAGTTACACAAATTCAAAAATAGAGCTTTAATAAGTTGTACATATGAACAATTTACTTGCAATCTTGAATTTTAAAGTATCATCTAAAATATATGATAATTAGGTGTGTATCATTTGTTTGTAGGGTAGAGGAAAAATAAGTTGAATGGAAAATTTCGAAGAGGTCGGTGAAATTCATGTACCCCTTTCACGTCTTGCACGTTTCGAGAGGCGCCATAAACTCAGAGAAAAAAGATTGCTACTTTTACCCACTTCTCAGTTACATGTAGTTCAAAAGGTTGAAATTTTTTATTTGGGTAATATTGTTTTGTGGAAAATGCATCAGAAATCCGAAATTTAGATTTTAAACCTGGTTTTTAAACCCGGTTTAGGGTGCTAAAAACTGGCGTTTTTGACAGTTCTCGCATTTTTTTTTTCAATTTTCGAATTTGGTCATTTTTTCCGTCCACAGAGAGAGGTACACAGATTCATAACATTTTGGATTCGAAGTTCTGTCAATCACTGAAATTTATCCGATTGAGATTTCGATTGTACCGTCGAAATACTTCAATCTGAAAGTGATAAACGACTTTACGCCGACTTGAGTGCTTTAACGGCCTTCTCGGCTGCATCATCTAGATCTTCGGCTGTAATCAATGCCATCCCGCTCTCCTGTGTAATAGACATATTTCTATTTTAAATATCTTATTTTCTCTATCTAGAATTGATTAGGAACCCATCAACCACCCACAGCACAAACACATGGCATATTCAGTAGGAATATGATGAATAACATTACCATATTCATTGTGAATGTAAGATTCATGATGAATACCACTTCCATGATGAACATTCATTTTCTTCACATGGCGTGTTGTGGGGTTTCCCGGGTTATTAGGCTCCTAACCGAGCTTCCCTCTCGGAAGTCTTATTGAGATGATATGATCAATTTTACCTTGAGAATCCTCTTTCCTTGGTCAACATTTGTACCTTCAAGACGAACAATGACGGGCACTTTCAATGCAACCTTGGGAACAAAAGCAAATACAAATGTTAGAAGAGTGTTGTAGCGGGATGTGTTTGGTATGCAAACAGGACTAGAAGGGGGAGAATGAGGTATGCGGGCAAAAGTATAAAAGGTTTAATCTGACATGAGCAATTTAATAATTTACCAATCTTGTCTCTTCTTCCTTATTTCCACCTATTTTAGTGGGACCCACCCCCATCCTGTTGTCCTAGTCTAATGTCACACCCACGTGGGACAAGTTTTTGTACTAGCCTGCCCCGTCCCACTTACCAAAGGCACCCATAATGACCAAAACAGATTCATGACACCGAACTCTATAAACCAAGAGTCGAACCAAAAAGTACCAAATTCTCAAAATTACCATCCATAACAATAATCACTCAAATTCTAAAACAATAGGAATATTGCAAAAAACTGGACTCATCAAATCATTAAATTGTCTTTATAGAACGTTAAAATATGTATAAATGTACTAATAGACTGCTTTATAGGAATAGGACTTGGGTTTATAGGACAAACAATTTTGCGTCATGTGTAAAGGTGTTACGATAAGTTGATAAGATGCTTTTAGCGTCCTAACAAGTTGTTTAAGACAATTTTGAAATAAAACGTCTATTAGTCTTTTTATTTGAGAAAATGAGTTCATACGACACTTCTCAAAGAGTGTCCTGGAAACAAACTAATAGGACACTTTATTTCAAAAATGTTCTAAAAAACTTGTTAGGATGCCAAATACATCATGACATAGGGCACACATTTGTTTTGTCCTACAAACTGAAGTCCTATAAAACAATCTATTAGGACAATTTGACATGGTTGGTGTCCTATAAAGCCGATTTTGCTGTAGTGAATGTAAGTGAAAACCGTTCATAGATATTAAGATCAATAGAACTACTATTCTACTAATCATCCCGTCAAAGGGAAATTATCAGAAAGGATAGGATAACGGATACCAATAGCGAAAGCGATGCAAACTCACATGTTTAGCAGCGTTAACAATCCCACTAGCTATGACGTCGCATTTCATTATCCCACCGAAAATATTTACCAAAATCGCTTTCACTTTGTCATCTGAAGTCAAGATCTTGAAAGCCTCCACAACCTGTTCGATTTCTTTTTAGTATTAGCATGCAACAATACAACTACAGGACTCTATTAATCAACAAAGTTGAAGCTTCTAAACCAAGTACTTGCCTGTCCTTCAGAAGCATTCCCGCCTACATCCAGAAAATTGGCTGGAGTTCCTCCATGTAACTTTATGATATCCATGGTGGCCATGGCCAATCCTGCACCATTCACCATGCATCCAATTTCCCCATCCAAACCAATATAATTTAAATCTGCTTTTGCGGCTGCGACCTGTTAAAAATAATTTTTTGTTACATATTATCGGCAGTTTCTGGTTAACTTCGCAATTTTTAAGGTTTTCTGATCTATTTTCTTCACGCTTTTAACCCGCAAGCCATCCTCCTAAGTCCTAGCTGTCCCCCAACCACCCACCCGTCAAAGAAAAAGAGAAACATGCCCGAGGTCGAGAATGTTCAACAGATGGAAGTATGCGTTCATTAGTCGTATTTTATTCCAACAAATCCAAAACTAGTTTCTCAAAATTTAGCAGGGTTCTAACAGGCGCGACTTGGCGTAAGATGCGTCTCCGCCATTACAATAAGGCCTATAGCGTTTCTGTAAGACGTGGCTCACACCATGTCGCCTTGAGACGCGTCATGGCGTGCACTTTTTTACAGGGCGCGACTTTTTCCAAAAAGAAATATTTCTTAGTTTTGTAATTTTTTTAGCTTGTGTTTTTACACTTTTATAGATTTACCTAATCACATCACTCACAGTTTCACGAATTCACACACGTCATAGACTCACGGTTAAAACAAAGTTGTAAAATCACACTTCCAAGTTCTATTTTGAATATTTAATCAAATACTATTTATATGATACTAATATATATGATTTGTTTCTTCTAATATGAATGTAAATTTTTTAATATCATTACCTCATTGAATAATATATAGAAAATTTATAAGTATATAAAAAATTCTATCTATGACATACAAATTTGTCGTCTTATGTCACACCTTAAAAAACGACGCGTCCTCACCGTGGCGTGCAAGGCTTGAGCTCACTGCCACGCCACGCCTCACACTATTTAGATCCTTGAAATTTAGAATATTTTTCTCTCTCTTTCTAGTAGTATTGCTATCGTTCACTCTTGTCTAGCTTTTCAAATTTTAGCATATTGCATTTCTCTCCTCCACACACTTCTCGTTAGCAGGTGGTCAACACTCTTTCAGATAGAGGTCCAGTTTGCGCACATCTCCCCCCCCCCCTTTCCCAAACTCTCCCTGACCCCACCTCGGGTTGGGACTTATTGAGCTTGTTTAGTTTGTTTAGATCCATGTGTTACCCAATGTTTTCTAGACGACCATGTCATGGTATTATCAATAATAGAAGTGTTTTCATATATACTCGAACACAAAAGACTAGTTATACCTCACGAGGGTCCTCCTGTGTTGGATCACGGAGAGCAAATATTTCTTTTTGACGGAAAGCGGCATTATCATCGAAGTTTAGCTTAGCATCAGCAGCAACCAACTTGTTATCCGAAGTCTCGGCAATGGGGTTGATCTGAAGGAGGAGACACTGAACTTAACACCCAAATACGGAGACGCAAAAATAGAAAAGGAAGCCAAAACAGCTGTGTAAAATTAACGCTCACCTCCAACTGCGTGCAATCAGACTCACGGAAAAGGTTATACAACTTCTTTACTTGTTCTATTGAAGCATTTCTGTCAGCTACTTTAGGAGCAAGACCGTCTACCACCTTGGCAGCATCTTTGTCGGTAATTCCTTTGAAAACATCAATAGGCACCTGCAAATTGATGAAACAAATTGTGATGGATAGTCTATATGACAGAAAACATGAAATGCTCAAAGGAATATTAAAATTTGAAATAAAGGGATACCTTTATGATCATATCAGGGAATTTCTCTGCAAGGTCTTCAATGCTGGTTCCTCCTTCTCGGCAGGCAATTATAAGCTGAAGAAGACTCAATAAGCACCATTCTCAATGACACTAATAGTCTTTCAGCAATGTTGAATATAATGCCAAAACAAGAGATTATGCAAGTGGCACTTACGCAACTTGCGTAACCCACTTTTTTCAATATAATATTTCAGAAAAAGTAGACTTGCTGAAGTGCTACTTAAAGGAGTGTGTGACACATAGATTGCCCACGTAGACATTATGCAAGTAGCACTTACACAACTTGCTTAATGTCTACTTTTCCAGAATATTATTTGAAAAAAGTGGGTTATGCAAGTTGCATAAGTGCTACTTGCATAATCTCAGCCTTTTCGGTTAATAAGTTGAAAAAGTGGCTATAAAGTGAAGAGAGGTCAGATTGACTATTGTGGACAATTTCCCCAGAAAGCCACATTGAACAATGCATGTTAACACAGCCCAAGTTTCCCATAAAACAAACGTGCTCAGGAAATGAGCACTTCCCATCCACTTCCCTACAGTAGCTTAGATGACACAAGTTACAAGTCACTCAAAACTACATAGCAGGATGCTCCCCAAAATATCCAGTTCATACTTAGAAATTATGTAAAACTCGACATTGAGTGCCATTAAGACAAATTCTCAAGACATTTATAAGTTCTCAATAAATTAAAGGCTCTGAAAAGCACAATTTTATGAACTAGAGGAACCCTCCGGCAACATTTCCAGTAAAACATTCGCTTATAAAATAACTAGCCACTTGTATCATATGTTGAAATGTAAAACTGCAATACAATAGAATCAACTCTTTGACCTAATTTGTTCATATCTGATATCATGTGGGGGTGCACATGAACACATACAGATAGATGTGTCAACAACAGTAAACCTAACAATGTATTAAGAAGCAACAACTTACAGGACCAGCAGTCGTACGATCAAGAGTGATTGCGAAGTACATCTCATTCACAAGTGACACCTTTTCACACAAGTAAACCTGCATAATGAAGGCAGAAATTAATTCATGGTTTATGTAAACCCGTCCCACATGGATAGAGAAGTAGATGTGTGAGCTCCTTATAAGCTCAAAGTTGTAGGCTACCAACAACTTCCACCATGGTTTTAAGTTGGATTAGAGGTTATTGGGTCAGTCTTTTGCTTTGGGCTTGAGGCATTAGAATGAAACTCTTTAATAACATTTGATAAAATTGCACAAGAGTCCATCCCTGATCTGGGCAAGTTATAGAAGAATCTTTACATCCTGAGAAGCTAACTTAATTTTAAGGTCAAAGCTGACACCAGCATATAGCAATGCAAGACTATTTTTTAATCAGAAAATGATTTGCTTTTTTTGACCGAAAATTCAAACAGCAAAAAAAGATGTAGTAGCGATGATTATAGTCAGGCTCTAATATCGACATAGCCCATGTGTGACTGCAAATGGCCATACTTGAGGTGCTTCACCATCCTGATCATCATGTTAACTTCTTCAAATAAAGACTAGTTTCTCTAGAAAATAGAGAGAGCGAAAGAAATCAGTTGTTACCAAATATTGCTCAAGTTTGGGAAGGTGTAGTTTGTGACAATACAACAATAAACACGATGGCTATATAATGTAACATATGTATCATGTTCCAGCAGAGTATATCTCAAAAGTTGCTGATGGTCATAATAGGGTATAAATGATAATATAAGTAATGTCAACCTTGCTGACAACTTTCCCTTGGGGGCCAGTTTGTTTGGTGACAAGAGTCTGTCCAAGCATCTTGCCTACAAGAACATGAAAATAAAATATATTCAAACGATTTATAAATCCATCAACCATCAAAAAGATCAAATGTTTTTATGTTAACAATAGCCTTATACATTTTCCATATGTAATCATAGCTTTACTGGTCAAATGTGCATAAAAGTAATTGGTCCGGTATGCATATGTGCATAAAATGCACACGTGCAAAGAAAGTTAGAAACCAGGAAACATTTTCAAATACTATTATGCACATGTGCATACCGGACGAATGAATGGTTATCAAGGTGTTCCTCAGTTTTCCTTTTCTTTGTGGTTTCTCTTCCCTTGAACCTGAGTCCTAAAACAATTGTTCAAACGGCTATATTTTCATACCAGCTATCTCTTCAGCCTGTTCAGCTTTGACAATATGAACTCCACCCTGAAGACCACTTGTGAACTTCCCTAGTCCCCTTCCACCAGCAAGGATTTGGCTCTTCACCACCAACTGGACCAAAAAGGAAATCAGTGCCTCTTATATACATGTCAACTAGTTCTTTTGTAGCAAATAAACGGTGAATAATAAAAAATCAAACCTACAGCTTCTAGACTTTAACTTTTGACAAGTTGGAACTACTAAAAGAATAGGGAATAAAAAACATTAATAAACCCACAACCAGATACTTCGACCACTCCAATATTTGATATTTACAGATAACCCGCCTCAGTCTTTGTTTTACTTCTAGTCAATGTTGCCTGAACATCTAAACAGATAATAAAACAGAAAGACAATGTATGACAAATTACCTCCTTTTCATTAGGAAATGTTGTTTGTATGGCCTTCCTGACTTCCTCAACCGAAGCAACAGCAACACCTTTTGGAACATTAATACCAAACTTGCTCATCAAATCAGCTCCCTGATTTCAGATTTGCTTGTAAGCAATTAAAGAAACATAGCATGTAAATAACATTGCAAACTCAATGCCACGCTCTGCACCAAACACCTTACGTTACTTTTACTATCTTAGGGGGCAATGTTATACCATATGCTAGTAGTGGTACAAGTAGTTATTGCATTTTGCATACAAGTATGTAATGCATATGTCTAGTATAAATAAGTCGTGAGGGACCAGAAGGTGGGCATTCTGTTTTGTAACCCTTTGAACGTGAGTCTGTTAAGTGATTGGCCTCTCAAATGCCAGAAACTAACTGTAACCATTCGATTGTCCCCATTAATCGGTCAATTACATTTGCAATTCCATCCCATTTCTTTTGGTGTTCATCAGACAAACCCTATGTAGACATCAAAACTAGAAGAATATTAACACACCAAATGAAAGAAACTTTGCAATCATTTAGTAATTCATAACAATCCAACTTATGACAGGTTTTAGCAGAATGGGAGACAAGAGGTTGATAGGAGATTTAAACAAGCTGGTAGAACATGGAAAATAAGTACACCACATGTCACCTGTGCAACATAAGAAATAAAATCCACTAATATGACAAACTGTTAAATATGGTTGTAAAATCTTCTATCACCAATCTACGGGGCATATTCCATTAGGAACCTGAAAACTGATTAGGAATCTGGGGACCGCCCACAGGGCAACACGTGGCATATTCATCAAGAATGTGAACGTGTTATTCGTCATTTTGCAACATATTCATCATGATTCATGAATGACTGATTCATGATGAATATTCATCCAGAAGAGGGATATGTAGCGCGTTGTGGGCTGTTCCTGGGTTCCTAATCAATTTTGGGTTCCCAACGAGCTAACGGAACTTCCCTCCCATGTCAAATAACTTTGTCTTCGGGTTCTATATATCCTGTGAATCTTATTTTAGCATTTCATGAACCAATAAGCATACTCCTTCCATGACGATAAAAATGGGATAAAATTATAGTTATCATATTGTTCGGATCAACAATTTGATGCAATCATTTACACTCTCGATGCTGGTTTTATGGACTTCTTCTGTAATACCCACCATAGACATATATCTCGTTTCTAGAAAAAATTACTAACTCAACCATTTCAAAGTCGAATCCCTGTATCTCTTTGCGTTCCTATTCTTTTCCTTTGTCATCTAACAGATGCCGTGATAACAAAATGGAACCTAATGATGCAGTTCATAAATATAAGCAACATAAACTAAACTTTAAAGGTGAAAACGCTTCTTCGTTATCAACAGATGCCGTGATAACACAATAGTGCCGTGTGATGCTGTCTACAAATATACGCTACACAAATTAATATTATAAGACTACAAACGAAACACAATAAGAAGATGATGACCTGATACTCATGGATATTGAGACGACGGAGCTGCTGCTGTTGCCATTTTCCGGCAACCTTGAGCGATTTAGATGCGAGCTTGTTGAACAATCCTCCAACCATCGTTCTGTTGATTATATCAACCAAGATCCACTACAGAGAACCAACAGTTATTTAGACGAGATCCAACCCATAGTTTATGAAAACATAAATCAGATGCCCTAATTTTGAGAGAAGAAAAAGGTCAAATAGGCGGCCGGAGGCGGAGAGACGACTGACCTGCCACCGGAATTGGGAATGGAAAGAAGCCCTTGTGTTACTAGCGTAGGTCGTAGAATAGAACGCAATGTGGGGCCCCCTTTTCCTTTCTATTTTCAACAATTGCAATTTTATATTAAAAAATAAAAAAATATATTTCCACTTTTTTATTCTACATTAGTTATCAAATGTATAAATTTCTCACACTGTTTGATAAAACTGTCATTTATCTATACCATATTATAAATAATTTGATAAAAACTTTTAAAAATTATTTTTTATATATAAAGTATTGATTATTGATGTAAATTATATAAAATTCAAGATTGCAAATAAATTATACGTAAATACAACTTATTAAGTTTCATATTTGAATTCGTGTAACTAACTGTAAATAAATATAATCAAATATATGATAAAATTCTTATTTTAAATATAAAATCTAAAATATGATTAGGATAATCATTGAGTTGTAATTGGAAAACTTAATTATTATCTTTATAAAAATAATATTATTCAAACAAAAATAAATTACTTCATCGTTAGACCTAAATTAAATTATAATAAAAATTTAAATTAAATAAATTACACAAAAAAAAATGAGAACTTTTATATTTTTTTAATTTTTATGATACCTTCAAATTTATATTTTATTAAGAAAAACATTATTGTTTGCTAAAAACCACATAAATCCATATTATAACATCGACAGAGACCAAAAAAATAAAATGAAACATTGAAATCAATATACATCTCGCTATATTACGCGAGTATCCTTCTAATTATTTAAAATGTACAATAAATACAAATTCTTATTTTTGTTGTGGACATTTATTTTACCGTACTCATGGTTTTCTCCATAACTTACTGATTTTGTTGATCTATCGCTTCAAGTTGGATTTTTGACCAGTGGTGTAGGTAAAGAATTTTTTTCGTATGATTTGTACTCATCTTTCGACAATTCGGTCTACATTCTGACCAGCTGAAACAGTGAATCATATGTGAAGAACTTCTTAATGTGATCTTTAACTAGGTCACTAATCGTCAACCACTTCACCACAATGCATTCAGCTTCATGTTTGTGAAAATGTCATATTCATTGTCACTTTATAGTAGGAACAATCTAAAGAATTTCTGATCGGTTTAACTAAATCCTGGAGCAATCATCAAAACCCTCTGCATTCAAAAACTATAGGTCCATAACTATTGACCCAGCTAAACGACAAAAAAGATTTACATTTATGGCCCCTGTTCGCAATTGCAGACTTGCCCCTAGAGTTTCAAAAATTAAACGTCCTAACCATACGGACCTACACATGTCGGCCCGGGGGAAACCCCAATTCAACCCTATCTGTTGACTATATCCATATCTGCAATTTTGACCTTTGACGTCCGCAAGTTTTCAAAAAATTGTCATTTTTCATGTGTTTTATACATGTTTAATTGCTGATATGCACTATTTTTTTCAACAAAGCCTGAAAAAATGATGTAAAGTTGTTCAATGATGTAAAGTTGCGCACAAACATTACACATTAAAAAACAATTACTTAGATATACTCTTACAAATCGATAATCTATACTATATTATAAAGAATTTGACAAAAACTCTTAAAAACGATTTTTTTATGCACAAAATACTGTTTATTGATGCATATTACTTAAAATTTAAGACTATAAGTAAATTATGCATAAGTGCAATTTATTAAAGCTCCATACTTGAATTCGTTTAACTAACTGTAGATAAACATAATCAAATGTTGGATAAACATCTCATTTTAAATATAAAAAATCTAAAATATAATTAAGATAATCATTGATAACTAACACAATACTTAGTTATTATCTTTATAAAAAATTATATTATTAAACCTAAATTAAATTATAATTAAAAAAATTGAATTAAGGAAATTACACCAAAACACAATAATTTTTAAAAAGATCAATTTAATACTGATATCAATTTCAAAACTTTATGATTAAATTTATATTTTATTCAAAAATAAAAACATTATCACTTTCTCAAAACCACATAAAACCAATGTTACTTAAAATTCAAGATTACAAATAAATTATGCATAAGTACAACTTATTAAAGCTCGATGTTTGAATTCGTATAACTAACTGCGGATAAACATAATCAAATAGAGGATGAACATCTCATTTTAAAATATAAAAAATATAATTAGGATAATTACGAGTTCTAACAAAATAATTTATTATATTTATAAGAAAATTATATTATTAAACCAAAATTAATTAATTTGTTATTGTACCTAAATTATATTATAATAAAAAATTGAATTAAAGATTTACAGGAAAAAATGAGGAATTTTAAACAGTTAATTTGATACTAATATTGATATATTTTTGTTATGCATAAAGTACTATATATTGATGCATATTACTTAAAATTCAAGATTACAAGTAAATTATGCATAAGTACAACTTATTAAAGTCTGATGTTTGAATTCATATAACTAACTGCGAATAAACATAATCAAATTGAGGATAAACATCTCATTTTAAAATATAAAACATTTAAAATATAATTAGGATGACTATCGAGTTCTAACAAAATAAATAATTATTATTTTTATAAGAAAAACATATTATTAAACCAAATATAAATTACTTCGTTATTGTACCTAAATTAAAATATAATAAAAAAATTTGAATTAAAAAATTACACAAAAATGAGGAATTTTAAATAGTTAATTTGATATTAGTATCGATATAATTTTGTCAAAATTTTATAATATATTTACACTTATATTTTATTCAAAAATAAAAATAGCATCGTTTTTTCAAAATCACATAAGACCGTATTATAACATCGACTGAGATAAATAATAAAATGAAATATTAAAATTAAGGTATATCTCGCTGCATTACGCGAGTACCCTTCTAAGTAGTTAAATATAATACTAATATTATTTGAGTAAATTACGAATTTGATTCTTGTGGTTCATCCTTTTTACTCGTAGGGGTCTAAAAATCAAAATAAATATAACGGATGGTATCTTGGTACACATTTTCGAACCTATTGAATCCTTCTTTCTAACAAAATCAATTAACCCAGCTAACTTAAATGGCATTTTCCCATTATAAATATTCATCTACTCAAGGCTGTGTTTGATGCATTGGACGGGACAAACTTGCTGTCTTATATTTGGCTTAACATGAGACAAAACAAGAACTCATTGTCTCACGTTTGGCGTGACATGGTACAGGGACAAGGTAAGACAAATGAGACTTTTTCTTATTCCACCAAAACAGGTAGAACAAGATGAGACAAGAATGAGACAAAAACTAAAATATTAATAATTTATCATAGTTTGATATATAACCTTAATATGATATTTGTTTTAAGGGACAAGGTGAGACAAAAGAGATGATTTACTTTATTTGTATTAATTATAACTATTATATAATATTAATATAATCAAATAACTTTTACGGGCCGTCCAGTCTTAATCGCACCAAACACCAGTCCTAGCCTCTTATCCTGTCCAGTTCTATTGAGCCATATCTGCATACCAAACGCTACCTAAAGAATTGGAAATTAATACAAACTAAAACTTAAATTAAAAACTCTAAATTAAACATAAACCAAAACCTTAAATCAAAGCATTAATTAAACCAAAATCTTTTGTCTTCTTCAACCATTAAATACATAAATAAATGATGCTTAACCTTCCATAACCACCCTTTATGCACCATCTCTCTCTATCTCTCTATCTCTCTCGACCGCATCTTCTTGTTTCTATGAACAGAACTCCATGGAAATATGATTATTAAGCTCCATCTCCATCATCTTTTCTTCATCCCAAAAATCGTAAAACCAAACCCAGAATTGAAAAACCAAACCTATCCCCATGAATTAAACAAAGCTCGGAAGAAAAACGAGAGCCACATACGAGGAACCTTAAAAAGAGAAACCAGAGGTGAGTGTCTGTGCAGGGACGAGAAAGGAGGGTTGGGTGCTGCAACGGTGGTGGTCTCGTGGCTTTCGTTATTGTAAGGAGGAAACAATGATGGAGGTTCTTGGAGACGGAGTTCTTGGTGCTGTCCGACTGTGGTCTTGGTTCCAGATCGAGATCGAATAAAAAGACTAAAATAATCTTGAATTTAACTGGTGAACGGAGAGGATGACCTAATGAGTACCATCCTTATATTTTGCTTTTTTGATTTTGGGACCGGTGAACCACGGAGGCCAAACCCGTAATTATTCTATCAGAAAATCTGCAACAAGATATTGGAACCGATATGATCATCCCAAGTATATTTTCCGAAATCCAGCAGATTCTATAATGGAATCGAATATGATCATACGAAAATCATGCCGTTGGAGAGCAGATCAGCATAATCAACTAATACAAGGACCAACCCATAACTCCATTTGAAGTTATTCAATATTATCATCTTTCTCTTCAAATTGGCGAATACGTTTTTCTATTCATCTTTCTCAGGTTTACGGCAGCGCGTACAATCAACATCCACTTTATATAATATGGTTTGTCAGGTTATTCGCTAATTTCTTGTTGTTTGGGATATCGACTGCAAGACAGATGATCGTTGACACTTGATAGTGAACTGGTCTCTCCAAAACGAGGTAATAAAGTTGATACATCTCTGCTTGTACTATTGAATTTAATACAAACTTAATTTTATCTACAACAATGGTTAAACAATTGAATTTGATTCCAATTTGTTCTTGAAAAATATTTAAAATTCCATATTTGATTGCAAGATTATATTTGTTTTAAAGTTTCTGGGCTATTCTATGATCATGTCTCGTATTTGATGGTGATTTATGTAATTGACATGTATTTGTCTGATTTGTTGATTCCTGGATACAATAATGATGTAAGAGGACCTTAGACTGTAATTGGATCAGGCAATGTACACTGTTTCTTGCCTCTATAGCACCTTATTTTTCTTTGATCATAAAGATTGTAGGATATGATGAAGGAGATTGCATATATGGCCTTCCTTCTTTTGTCAGCTTAGTGAGTTTTTCATAAAGGAAGGTAGAATTATGTTTTCAGACCACAAGAAGAT